TCTGCAACAACGGTTGCGCACCTGCCAGGGCCATCATCCCTGTCAAATAATACCATGCGGGACACATTCGTTTTTTCTTCGCGCGCGCACGCCGTCGTCGTCGGCCGCGGGGCCCTGAATAGTAGCCACGGTCGTCCGCATGCCACGAAGTGAAGTGTCCGAACGTCATAGGGCGGGAAGCTGGGTGTGGGTGGTGGCGAAGAGTCGTTTGGAAATTTGGTAGAGCTTGAACCGGCCCCCCCACAAAGTGGGGGTATTGCCCGCCTCCTATGAAAACCCTGGCACTGGTGAGAACGGAGTGTCCCCACGTGCTAGTATTTGTTGTTGTTGTTGTTGTTGTTGTTGAATTCTCATTTCTGGTGAATGATTATTGCTGATCCCCCCCCGCACCAGTGCATACTGTTTTTTCTCAATCAAAGTGTGCCCCTCGACGCTCGCACTTTGTTTTTTGAAAAGCAAAGTCTTGATGCTCAAACTGAGCCCCTGGCCCCCGGGTTACAACAACGGCTCCCGCCTGAGACTTCCTTGCAATTTAGCCAGGACCCCCGCTCCCGCCCGAGACTTCCTCGCATTTTATTCAGGAATCGGGCTCTCGCTTGGGACTTCCTTACAACTTATTCAGGAAGCGCTCTCCCGGCGCTCTGGAGTCGCGCTCTCGCTGGAGACTTGCTTGCAACTTGCTGAAGAATGGCCTTGCGTTGGAATTTCCTGCAATTTGCCCAAGTGCCGCGCTCCGGACACCCAGGCACCCAGGAGTCGCGCCCTTTGTGGCCCCATGTGAATGGCCCTTCGTGGCCCCGCTGTCGCCATTTGTCCCCCTCACTGTCCTACGTGGCCCAGTTGCTACCCTCAGTGGCCCAATGGTTAGTTGCCTTCTGTGGCCCCGCATTATCTGCACTTCGTGGCCCCCGCTCGTTCGCGCTCTTCGTGGCCCCATATGCATTCCCTTCGTGTCCCCGCTGTCGCCCTTGGTGGCCTACTTCGTGCCTTCGTGGCCCTGCTGTCGTTCTCTCTCGCTCTCGCTTTCGCTCGTCGTCGCCGTCGTCGTCGTCGCCGTCGTCTTCGACGTCGTCGTCGTCGTCGTCGTCGTCGTGGTCGGTCCCCTGTCCGTCCCTCTTGGGGTCGGGTCGACGGTCCGCGGCCGCCCCGCCGATCAGCGCTGCCGCTGGCCAGGCCGACGGTCCGCGGCCGCCCCGCCGCTTGCCGGGGCCCGGCCTGCAGGGAAGAAAGGTATACCCTCCAAAAAGGGTTCGATCGAAGACGAAGAGGGCGGGTATCGAGGGTTTGGAAAATACGCGTTGTTGGACACTCGAGCATATGAGGGCGAACAGTCTTAACATTATTGGTGTTGTTGTTGTTGTTGTTGTTGTTGTTGTTGTTGTTGTTGTTGTTGGGGGGCCGGCTTTGGCGCCCCAACGAAACGCTCGAGCGGGAGCCCCATTTTCCATGAAACTGTAGCCAGCGCCGTGGCGAGAGCGTCAAAGCGCCTGGGGGGGTCCAACAATGGAAATTGTTTAAAAGATGGCATTCAACAACAACAGCAACAACTAACACACAACAACACCAACAACAACAACAGCAACAACAGCAACAACAACGACAACAACAACAGCAGCAGCAACAACAACAATGATAATGTTACCCTCATGCGCGATGCTTCCACACGAAGCATGCGATCATCATGATAACCATCCCCATCATGGGGGATTATTGATCTATGCCGGGGTCCGTTCTTCCCATTCCCAGATATCCCGCCCAATGAAGGTCTTGTAAACACCTCCTCAGTGGAGCCCCGGCCAAGGGTAAAGCACCAGGAAGTATCGAGCGAAAGGATTGCCTTGGTAGGGATGGGGGCTGTCGGCGGCGAGGCAAGGACCTGGCCCTGAATACAAAGGGAGGAAGTCTCGAGCAGAGCCGCTGTTGTTGCTGGGAGTGGCACCAATGCTGAAGAGAGCAGGGCGCTACTCCAGCGTCAAACAAAACGAAGTCTCGAGCGGGAATGCTAGTTTTGTTGGGACGGCGGTTGCCGGCGGCGAGGAAGAATAATATAGCCTTGAGTCAAAAGGGAGGTGCTCTCGAGCGGGAGCGCTGGTTTTGTCGGGACGGGGGCTGTCGGCGGCGAGGCAAGGACCTGGTCCTGAATAGAAAGGGAGGACGTCTCGAGAAGGGCTGCTGTTGTTGCTGGGAGTGGCGCCAATGCCGAAGTTAGCAGGGCGTCAGTCCAGCGTCAAACAAAACGAAGTCTCGAGCGAGAACGCTGGTTTTGTTGGGACGGCGGTTGTCGGCGGCGAGGAGGAACACCGCCTTGAGTAAGAAGGGAGGAAGTCTCGAGCGGGAGCGTTGTTGTTGCTGGAGGCGGCGCCGATGAGAGAAAGAGTAGCGCGCCAGTCCAAAGTAAAATGGGAGGAAATCCCGAGCGGTAGCGCTGGTTTTGTTGGAACGGCGGCTTTCGGCGGCGAGCAAGAGCACCGGCCCTGAAAAAAAAGGGAGGACGTCTCGAGCGGAAACGTTGTTGTTGTTGTTGTTGTTGTTGTTGTTGTTGTGTTGTTGGGGGGCCGGTTTTGGCGCCCCCGTAACCGCTCGAGCGTGAGCCTCATTCCCAATGAAGATGTAGCCGGCGCCGAGGCGAGAGCGCCAGCCTGGGGGGGTCCAACAATAAAGTTTTTTTATAGCAACCAGGACAACAACAGCAACAACAACACCAACAACACCAACACTGATACTACTGATACGAACAACAACAACAGCAACAACAACAACAACAACTACAACATCAACAACAGCAACAGCAACAGCAACAGCAACAGCGTCAGCAGCAGCAACAACAACAACAACAACAACGACGACACCGACACCAACACCAACACCAACAATAACATCAGCAGCAACAACAACAACGATCCGCACCGCAAAACCTCACTTCAACCACGCGCCCAAGGACCGTGAGACCGTTCGGCCCCCTCACTCTGATTATTTCCCCGCGGCACCGCTACTTTCCGGGCCTCTCCCGGGGTGCTGTCTGACCAGGGCTTCGAGAATCCAGCGGAGGCGACGAGGTCCTCCTAGGAGGACCCAAAAATGGAAAACGAGGGAAGGGTAGTGGTACGGGTACCTTTCCTCCAAGAACCTCACCCCTCCTTCACCCTCCTCGTCCCCTTTCCTCCTCGTTCTCTTCCCTCCCGATGGCCGCTGGTGGCACACTGCGCGTGTTCGTCCGCATTGGTTGTTGTTTTAGGCTGGCGGCCATGTCTATTGGCGTGCCCTGCACCACCCTCCGTTGCAGGCACTCTCTTCAGGTTTAGACCTTGGTTCTGGAGGCGTTGGCATTGATGTCAAATCAGCCCCTCAGCCCTGAAGCTTCCCGTTCTCCGACCAGCACCGCGAGGCGACCTTGGCCGTGGCGCCTCACCTCCTGCTCCTCTTCCCTCCTCCCTCCCTCCTCCATCCTCCTCCGGCCTCTCCGGCCTCCTCCTCCTTCTCGTCCTCCCCCTCCTCCTCTCCGCCTCCTCCTCCTCCTCCTCCTCATTCCTCCTCCTCCTGCTCCTGCTCCTGCTCCTCCTCCTCCTGCTCCTCCTCCTCCTCCTCCTCCTCCTCCTCCTCCTCCTCCTCCTCCTCTCTCCTCCTCTCTCCTCCTCTTGCTCCTATTCCTGCTCCTTCTCCCTCCTCCTCCTCCTCTCCTCCTCCTCCTCTCTCCTCCTCCTTTCCCTCCTTTTCCTCCTCCTCATCCTCCTCCTCCCTCCTCCTCCTCCTCCTCATTCCTCCTCTCCTCCTCCTCCTCCTCCTCCTCACTCCTCCTCCTCACTCCTCCTCCTCTCCTCCTCCTCCTCCTCCTCCTCCTCCTCCTCCTCCTCCTCCTCCTCCTCACTCCTCCCCCTTCCTCTTCCTCCTCCTCCTCCCCTCCTTTTACTTGGCTGCCCTCAGCCGACAGCGCGGGGCGGGAAGCAGAGGGGGCAGGCCTCCCCAGAAGGCTCGAAGACCTCGGGCCCTCGGATGAGTGTTCTAAGCCTACCCGAAGAAACGTTCAATGCCAGCTCGAGAGGTCGCCCAGAGGCTTGGGAAGCAGAAGAAAGCAACAGGGGAAGGGAGAGCAAAAGGAAGACCAACGACAACAACAAACCATGCAAAGCAGGCACGGAAAACCCTTCAGAAGGCCGGAGGTCTTCGGAGAAACCCCGCCGCCATCGGAGAGGGCCTGCCCCTTCTCAAATCCGCCCTGGGCGCGTCGCCAACACCCCGACTTAAGCGACCGATCAAGGCGCCCTGGATCGGCGGCACACGGCAGATGCCATGAAATCATGGCCCGAGGGACGTGCGCGGACTGGGGGGGCCGAGGGACGTGCAGACACAAGAAGAGAGGCCATGAAGTCCAGGGGGGTTCGCGGGCCCGGCCACGATATCCCCCACCTCCCCTTGGCCGCCCTCGATCACCTCCTCCTCCCTCCTGCAGAAGCCTGGACCCGCAGATGTCTGGACTCTTTCCCCGAGACTGGTTGTCCGTCCTGCGTAGTTTTTGACGGGTCCAGAAACCGAAAACAACGGTCAAGACCTCCATCCTCACCGTCATCTCAACTCATATCCGCATTCCACCTCCTCCTCCTCCTCCTCCTCCTCCTCCTCATTCACACCCTCATCCATGCATCCTCATGTGTTCCTCCTCCTCCAGCATATCCACATCCTCATTCCTCCTCATAATATACATCCCTCCTCCCTCATACATATCGTTCCTCCTCTTCCTCCCCCTCCTACTCCCCGCGCATCCCCCCTCATCCCCCTCCTCATTCCACCTCTTCCTCCCCCTCCTCCTCCTCCTCCTTCTCCTCCTCCTTCACGTCCTTGTCCTCCTCCCCATCCCCACCCTGCTCCCATCCCACTTTTCGTCCCGGTCCCCACCCCCCACTCCTCCTCGTCCCAGTCCCACTTCTCCTCCTACTCCCCCGCCCCCGCCCCACACCCGCGCGCAACCGGCCACCCCCAGCGCGCGCTCTCGCGCCGACGCTCGCTCCTTGGCCGACACGATGCGAAGGTTCAGCAGGCTGCGCACCCGGTGGATCACCTCAAGAGGAACGAACGGAAGAACGAACAACCGCCATCGCCAGGAGTCGGTCCAATGCTGGGCGACGGGCGCGCTGCGAGGCGCGCTGGCCCTCCGCGAGGAGGGAAACATAATTTGACGAGGCACGAGGCTCTCCCGCACACGTGCACCGTCTGGGGTGCTGCGGGCGCGGCGCCGGGGCGCCCGAATTCTGGGCAGGTGGCAAAAAGACAGAACACAAGAGGACGGGGAACAACAAACATAAGAAGACGGGTGCCAGTCATCAGAAGAACAAGAAGACGAAGAAAGGCAATAATTGTATGACCAAGGGGAACGAAGGCAACAGTGAGGGAGGAAATCGCACATCAACGATAATACAAGGAGGCAGACTGGCAGTAACACTGGAGGAACGAACAACCACGAGGTGCAAACCCAGACGCGTTAAAAGAGGAACAACACGTGAGAGAAGAGGAGGAATATTAGGAAGAAGAAGAAGAGTACCCGCCCGTCAGATAAAGTTCGTGGAAGCATGAAGTCGGAAGGCGGGTGTAAAGTAGATTGGGTCCAAGCCTGCCCCCCACAAAAACGTATCGATCATTGAAAAACGAAGGCGCTTGAAAAATATTGAGATCTGGGAATCCGAAAACATGATGTTCAACGACAGGCGTTTGACACGAACAAAAATCAGGGGAAAAGTAAAAACAAAAACAAAAAAAGGCCCGAACGAATCTGGCGTTGCCCTGAAGGCGCCCAGGTCAGGCGGTGGGCGCGGTGCGTGGCGCGCGCGGGACTCCACGAAGGCATGCGGCGCGCGCGCTGCCCGGTGTGCGGAGCCGCCAATAGAATTCGCCGGCCCAACGGGCCAAAGGCGTGCTAAGATCTCCGGTAACTGCTAAACAATACTTCTAGTTCGCGCGCGCGGGGCGGCCCCTGGGGGTCCCCCGGCGAAAAGTACCCCGACCGCCGCCCGACCACTGCTACTCAGAGATGGTTTTCCTCCTGGGTGTGGCTTCTCAGGCCCCCCAGAGCGCGCCAAGAGTGCCCCAAGAGGCCCCCAAGACTGCCCAAAGGGCCCCCGAGACGCCTAAAGAGCGCTCCAAGACGCCGATGATGACCTCAAGACGGCCCAAGAGGCCTCCAAGTGGCCTCCAAGAGGCCTCACAAGAGGGCCCTGAGAGGCCCAAATCAGACATTTTACGATGGTTTTGAAAGAATTTGGGCCTTGTCCCCTTTTCGGCCATCCGATGCTCCAAGACGGCCCAGGAGGCCCCCAAGAGCACCCCAAGACGGGCCAAGAGGCTTCCACGAGGGCCCCGACCCAAGAGGCGCCCAAGAGCCCAAGACGGCCCCAAGACGGCCCCAAGAGGGGCCCAAGAGGGGGACCACGAACCAAAACCTCGAGCCTTCCGCCCCAAGAGGGCCCCAGGAGGCCCCGAGAGGCCCCAAAGAGGCCCCAAGATGCCGCCAAGAGGCCCCCAAGAGGTCCCAGGAGGCCCCCAGGAGGCCCCCCAGAAGACTTCAAAAATGCCTCCCAGGCGCCCTCGAACGGCTTCTGAAAAGACCCCAAGAGGCCTCCCAGAGAAGCATCTTGACGACGACCCTGTTTGGCCCCAAGAGCAACACAAGATGCCAACGAGAGGCTTCCTCCTCCGCCCCTTCCTCTTCCTCCTCCTCCTACTTATCTTCATCCTCCTCATCTCCTTATCATCCTCTCCTCCTCCTCCCCTCCCCTTCCCCATCCTCATCTTCTTCCTCCTCGGCGGCGCCACAATGGCCCCGGGCCCACGGCGAAACAGTAGCGATCATGCAACATGGGCCGGCGGAATGAGCGAAGCGATTGAATAACAATATAGTTTAACATGCAACCTGGCAGAAAACGGCCCTAATCCGTAAGGGTGCAAGGGCCTTGGACGCCCAGGCCAATGTTTTTCAAGCGGGGCTGGCCATCAAAAGTGGTTGAAAATGGGCCGGCACTGACAGAAGAGGCAAATATGCAAGGGCACCCTTGGAATGTCGATCAACCCCACGATCAAGTCTGACTGTACTCCTCACACCGTACTGCGAACACGGGAAAACTATGCGGGAAACCGCGCCTGAAACCGCACAAGAAACCGCACAAACACCAAACGGGAGACTGTACGGAAAAACGCAACTGACACACCGTAGAATTAGCGTTCTGGTTGCACTGTCCGCTCCTATTTTTCTACGAAGTGATATCATCGACGATCTGAGGTCGTGGTACTGGTATGTGTTCTGTTCAGACAAAAGTCTCAAAAATGCTAAACGTGATTCATGTTCAGCAAATTGGTTTCTGCATTTGACCATTGTTGGTCTATCTTGTTTTGACTTGCTTAAGTAATTTTAGGCGGGGCGAACAGGGCCATCCAGAAGGTGGGCCGTCGAAAGGGTGCATGGAACGGCTTTCGGGGAGGCGTTCCAAGATTTCTGGAACGCCTTTCCGCCCAGCGTTCGGAGCAGTTCGGTCGCCTCGGCCCACGGCCCGCTACCGCGTCGACATGGAGACACCTCGAAGCGGGATCAGGCCGCACGAGTTCAGCCAAATTGTCTGCGAGGGGCAGCCTTGGAACTGCTGTTCTGCCACCCTCTCTCCTTCTCGTCCTATGTGTGCCCGTCGACCGCCGCGCCCTTTCTATGGCGCCGAAGTGGCCACTTCGCCTGGTCTGCCCCGTGCACGCTCCCGTGCTGGCCCTCCCCCTGCCTCCGCCCACGGCGCAGCCCCTTGCCCCCTCCGCCGCCACCTCCCCTTTTCTCCCTTCACTCCCCTTTTCGCCCCGCGTCGTCGTCGTCGTCGTCGTCGTCGTCGTCGTCGCCCCGCGTCCCACACCAGTGTCGTTCAGCGCCTCACTGATGCTAGTCCGCTACTTACATCTGCCAACCGCGCCCATTTTCTCTCGCACTCTGCCTCCCTCATCCCTCCCCCCCCCCCTCCCCCTCCCTTCCCCCAGCTCCCCTGTCCTATTTCGCCTTCCCCCGTCCCCTTCCCCTTCCCTCCCTCCATTTGCCCCTTTCTTCCAACCTCGTGCTCTCCCGCTCCCACCCCTCCCCGTTCCCTCCGCCGCCAGCCCTTCCCGAACGCTGTTCCGGGAAGGCGCGCAGCCCTTCCCGAACGCTGTTCCGCGGAGGCCGAATGCAGGCCCCAAGTGGGCCATCCGTCCGGCTGATGCTCCGAGGCCCCAAGTGGGCCATCCACCCGGCTCCTGGAGGCCGCCCCCCCCGAGGCCCCAAGTGGGCCATCCATCCGGCTCATGCACGCCCCCGACCCTCGCACGCCCTGCGCGCAACCCCCTCGCCGCCCCCAGGCCCCAAGTGGGCCATCCACCCGGCTCATGGAACATCACACCGGGGCACCCAGTACCCCTGCACCGGTCCAGGGCCCCAAGTGGGCCATCCGTCCGGCTGATGCTCCGAGGCCCCAAGTGGGCCATCCACCCGGCTCATGGAACCCCTTCCCAGAGCTCCCTCGGAAAGGCGTTCCGCGCCTCGGGGGAAGGGTACTCGCGCGCCTGGCCGCCTTGGCTCCCGCGACCCAGGGCGCCCTTGCACCGATCCCAAACCACCCCGCCTCTCCCTCCCCTTCTCCTGCTCCCATGCCTCCCTCCCTCCCTCCCGCCAGCATTCCTGCCCTCTCGCCCCGCACCTCGTCGTCCCTTTTCTCCCTTTTCGCACCGCGTCGTCGTCGTCCTCCTCCTCCTCCTCCTCCTCCTCCTCCTCACATGTCCTCATCCTTCCGCCCCCCCTCCTTCCTCCTCCATCATCCTCCGCAATCCTGCTCCCGCCCTCCTCCCTCATCGTCCTCCATGCTCATCCTTATGAACCTCCTTTTCCTCCTCCTCCCTCATTCATCCCATTATCACCTCTCCCTCCTCCTCCTCCTTCTCCTCCTTCTCCTCCTCCTCCCCTCCTCCTCCCCTTTTTTTTGACAACCCAACGTCGAGGCAAGTTCACCGCGTCTAGAAGGGCAGCAGTACAGGTGTGGAGGACACTGAGAAAACATGAAGGGAGAAGAGATCGAAAGCCAGTGGGACCATTAAATACGCAAGAGAAGTGGAGACAGTCGAGAGGGCCCAGGGCTGTCTAGCTGGCAGGAGCTGATTCCAGCAAAGATGGTTGAGGGACGAGGTGAAAGTGGACGGCCGAGCCATCCGCAATCCCAGCTGTGATTTCTCGCACCACCGCGCTTCCATCCACCCGATGAACGGCCCACTTGTCCATCCACCCCCTGGATGGCCCAGTTCGCCCCCTCCAATAATTGAAGAATTAGCAAAGCGATTCGCAACGTCCGGAGATCGCAACGTGCCCAACAATGGTTGAAAACACGCGCTGTCAATACTTAACGACCTATGCCGGCGAGCGAGAACGGCACTCGAGAAAGAGAAAGCGCAGATGGGCAGAAAGACTGAGGGCGTTCTTTTCTCGCCTGGACGCTTGGGCCAAACGCGGACGGGCGCGTTCATGTCGGTGCTACACAATGCTGCGCGCAGACTAGCAGCATGGCTCAGGCTACTACTCATCGAAACTGCTCAATCCACCGCGCCTCCGCAGGGCGCGGCCCCCGGACAGTCGCCGAGCACTGCCTGCTCTCACTGCGCTAACCTGACACCCGGGCGAGAAACGCCCCCCGCTGCCGGCTGCCCACGACGCGGCGCCAACAAAAAAACAATGTCGGCTGGAACGGCACGCGCGTTCGCATCCGCCATATCACCGCGCGTCCGAGGAATACCTCCGAAAGTTCATCCTTCGTTTCGCTATGGGGCCTCATGCGGCCTCACGCGTGGTTTGCGTGCTGATCGCCTCTTCGAAGTTCATCCGCTGTCGCGGTCTGAAGCCGCGGACGAGGGCGCTGTCGCGGGACTTCCGCTGACCGACGGGCCACCCGCAGCCTAGGTAACGGCCGCATCAGCATTAGCTGCGCTCAAGCACGTCAGGTTCACGATGGCGTGTACCGCTGTTTCTTGCCCATGCGCTCGCCGCCCCCCCTCTCCTCGCGCGGCCTCCGGCGG